TTTGCTGTCATTCCAAATGGAATGTGTTTTTCAAACAAATAAAATGAACATCTATTCAGCATTCTTTATGGAAAAAAAAGTTTTTCTTCTACACGAAAGAGGTAAGTTTTATTACAGATCTATACAAGGCTCAATAGAGTTCTAATGTTATTTTACTGCTTTAATATGAATCATAAAACTAGAAAGAAAAACATGAACGCTAACATATTTTGTTTAAATAAAGAAGGATAACACGGTATTTTATCTTTTGTTTGTTATTTGGGTAATGATTTCAGCTAGTTAAAAATCCATTTGCCTAGTGTTGAGGAGAACTTGAGGTAATGGGATAGCCTAAATGGAAAAAGGACAGATATGAGAGCAAGGAAAGAGATATCTTCATTGAGGAAGCCATTATAGGGTTAGCAGAAACCTGGTTCTAGAGAAATTCCCAGGAATCAACAAGGATGACCACATATAAGAACCTAAGCAATAGAGGAGAGGGGCCCGATCTTGACTTGCCCTGTAATCAGACTGATGGTTATCTTAAATATTACCAGAGAACCTTCATCCAGCAACTGATGAAAACAGAGGCAGAGACTCACACAGGAGCACTGGGCTGAGCTCCCAAAGTCTGATTGGAGAGTGAAAGGAATGAGAATACAAGCAAAGAGGTCAAGACCATGAAACAGTCTACCTGAGCTAATGGATGCTCACCAGCTCTAGCTGTACTGGGAAGAAACAAGCATAGGTCCAAACCCTTTGAATGTGGTTGAGAGTTGCATGGCTAGGGCAGACTCAGGGGCCATGGCCAATGGCACCAGGATTTATCATTACTGCATGTACTGTCTTTTTGTGATCCTATTCTCTTTGGATGCATACCTTGCTCAGCCCAGATCCTAGATGTAGTAGGGAGGGTCTTCAAATTTCCACAAAACAATGTGCCTTACCCTCTTTGATTAGATGGGGGTGGGGTGGGAGAGTGTGAAAGGAATGCGAGGAGGGGAGGAGTGGGAACTTGGATTGGTATTTAAAAAAAATCTAAAAAATTAAAAATAATAAAATATTCCATTTTTCGTTCCAGGAATATCATCACAGATCACACTGTGATGTTAATTATTTCATATGGAAAAGTAGAGACTTCCTCAATGAAACCTTGTTTTACACACACACACAAACACACACACACACACACACACACACACACACTTCAGAATCTCAATTTCCAAGGCATTTTTTCAGCTCACAATCAGAGACATACTATGAGGATCTCACGAAGCTAGTATTAAGGGCTGTAGAGACAGCTCAGTTGTTAAGAGCATTTGCTTCTCTCGTAGGGCACTGGAGTTTACTTCACTCTCAACAAGCTAAAACTTCAGCACCATGTGAAATTCTGCTCTTTTCTAGCCTCTGCATGCTGCCGCATACACTTATATACATACACAGACAAACACATCTGTGTAAATGAATAACAAAAGGACATTCACAAAGATTTTAACAACAAAAGAGGAGTCAAAGAAAAACTCTATGTGTATTTGCTGAGAAGATAATTTTTTTTATAGATTTTCAAATTCTTCAGCACTTTCGAGGCAGACCAGATAATCATATGTTCAAGTCCTTCCTTGTTATATAAGGTTTTTGTTGCCAGCCAAGGCTTTAGGAAATCCTGTCTCAAACCAAAACACTTCTCAAATTCTTTAAACTATTCATCAGTATTGCTATAGGATAGGGTCATTTCAGGTTCCCTATCCTCAGCTGCCCAAGGAACTAACTGGGGACCTGAGCTTGGGCATCTGGGAGCCACTCTAGGTTCAAGTCTCTTGCCAACCCTAAGGTGGCTCCCTTAACTAAGAATTGTGCTTCCGTGCTCCCCTATCCAACCTTCCTTTATCCCAATCCTCCTTTTTCCCCAAGTTCCCCCCATTCTCCCCTTCTCCCTTTTCTCTCCCCATCTCCCCTTACCCCCATCCCACCCCACCCCCAAGATCTCAATTTTATCCCCGACAATTTTGTCTACTTCCCATAGCCAAGAGGACAACTGTATGCTTTTCCTTTGGTTTACCTTCTTACTTGGCTCCCAAGGTCCCAATGAGGAGCAGAAGGAGGGAGAACATGAGCAAAGAAGTCGGGACCACGAGGGGAGCACCCACCCACTGAGACAGTGGAGCTGATCTATTGGGAGCTCACCAAGGCCAGCTGGACTGTGACTGAAAAAGCATGGGATAAATCTGGACTTTCTGAGCATGGCGAACAATGAGGGCTGATGAGAACCCAAGGACAATGGCACGGGGTTTTGAACCTACATAATGTGCTGGCTTTGTGGGAGCCTAGCCAGTTTGGATGTTCACCTTCCTAGAAATGGACGGAGGGGGGAGGACCTAGGACTTACCACAGGGCAGGGAACCTTGACTGCTCTTTAGGCTGGAGAGGGAGGGGGAGAGGAGTGGGGGGAGGGGGAGAAGGGTGGGAGGAAGGGGAGAAGGGTGGGAGGAGGGGGAGGGAAATGGGAGGCTGGGAGGAGGAGGAAATTTGGGCTTTTTTTTTCTCCTTTTCTCAATAAAAAAAACAGTTCAGGAGAAAAGAAATTGATAAGGACTATACTGTCTGTATGCATAATAGATTACCATGCTGTCTATTATTTATTAGACAGACATATTCTGATATTTAGCAATATGAAGCAGTTATTAACTGGTAGCTATATTTTGGTCATATATCCTTTAAATATTCATCAGTATTTTAGAATTTTCTTGGTATGTTTACATACATTATTTTAATTATCATGGAAATTCTACTTAGAGATAGGAACTCATGTTTTCTCTGTCACTCAAAGAGACTCAAATGACTTACTGGCTTAGAGTAGCCAGAGAGTTTGCACTAATATTATTTTATCTCATTCAAGCTGATTTTTACATTAAGATTAACCATTACAGGAAGTCTTTAAATACTTTATTACCTGTGGTAGTGGGATCTCATGCACTACCTGCCTTATTGAAACATTGATTGCTTTTATTATTTCCTCCAAATGATTGCTTCATAAAGCCTGCTTGTAATTCTGTGCAGTGTTTACAGTTTCTGGTAGCAGAAGCTTAAATCAGCTGACATCCACAATACTTTTTGAAATAGTCATTTGAAAGACAACGATGGCGTTTCTCCAATGTGAGTGACTGAGTATACAAGGTAAAGATTATTCTATTTCATTTTCAGGTAAACTGTGAGTTCTTGTATATTACAACATTGCCTGATTTTGATACCCTGACTTTGATCACAGTTTTTACATTATATCAAATTAAACAAAAAGACGTATTAGTTCCTTTATATCGGTGGTGCAAATTAAAGTGATTAAATTTATTCTATGAAAATTTGTGTTCAACTCCTTAGATGGTGGTTTTTAAGAATTTGATAGTCTTTACTTAACAACTAATATCCACAAATAAGTGAGTACATACCATGTTTGTCCTTCTGGGTCTGAGTTACCTCAGCCAGGATGATTTTTCATAGTTCCATCCATTTGGCTGCAAATTTCATGCTGTCATTGTTTTTAATAGCTGAGCAGTACCCTATTATGTAATTGTAACACTTTTTCTTTATTAATTCTTTGGTTGGGGGCATTTAGGATATTTCTAGTTTCTGGCTATTAAGAATAAAGCTGCTATGAACATTGTGAATCTGGGAGAGAAGAAAGAAAAAGGAGTTGGGATGAATCTATGAAGTGGAAAATGCATGTCAGGATATAATGTATGATAGAAGAATAAAAAGGAAAAAATGAGAACAAATATATTGCATTAAAAATTAATTTGATTAACCATTCTGAAATTTTGCTCTTTTTCTACAAAGTGAATAAAGTAATGTGGAACTAAGTATTAATATTACCAAAAGAATATTTACAATGAAACCAAAAATTTGAAGAACAGTTAGTGTTTATATGGGTTTTCTGATGAATTACCTACAAATAGTTTATTTGAAAACAAAAATTCAGTTGAATAGTAGACATTGGTTATTATGTTTTGCTTTACAGATTGACTAAATATTTGTTGTAGACTTTATAAGTTTGTTCTCTTGTAAATTAAAATATATATCTCAAGAGCCCAGAATATGTGCAGAATGTTTACATCAATTGTACTTTTTATTTTATTTAAATTTCACACTCCTTTCTGGAGTCCTTTTTTTCCCTGTGATCTTAGAAGAACTTTTCTATAACCTCGACAAAGCAGTCATTAAAAGATTTAGTCAGAAAATAAGGAAAAATTGTGAAATATAGCTAGACAAGTTATGTGTGAGAAGTAACAAAATATTTTACTAATCATATGCTCTAATAAATTTTAAACTTATTTTTTTTGAAGAATAACAAAATGTATGTCTAGTCTTATATAACATACAAATGAAAAAAATCAATCTAATTTTCAAAAGAAACCTTTATACTACTTATGAAAGTTCCCCATATTAAGTTAATTTCAGATATGTCTCAGAAAAAAATGTATCTATTTGTCAGGTAGGTTTTTGAGCATTTTTATACTGTTACATTAAAGATTGTAAATTATAGAGATATTATCTTATGGATATTAATAAGATGTAGCTTTTCATTCTTTGTAATTATTAAACAAAATTTTGGAGACTGATTATGAGAACTGGAGTAAGTGATGAGGAGGGTTGGTAGGAAGATTACTGTTTATGCTCCTTGTACTTTGACTTATAATCATTTATTTTGATGTATGTTTGCTGGAATACATTGATATTTATTTAGGGATAAATTTGTATGACAATGTTAATGATGATTGCTTCTAATTTAAGTTTCCCAAATGAAGCTGATAAACATCCTTCAACCATTCTGCTCATCACCATGAGAATGGAACTGGATGTGCAAATTCTGTCTATTTGAGTTTTTGGAAAATGAGATCAGAAGGAACCTTCTACCGTTTCCATTAAAAATTCCTGGAGAATTTTCCCCAGGTTCTTACAAAGTCTGTAGAAATAGAACTCATTTCATGGTAAAAAAAAAAAAAATGAATCCCACAGCACTTCTTGTTAATAACTGTTCAGCTACAAAATTTTATTGGTATCTTTTTATGTTCCCTCTAGAGGATGTAATGCACAAAAGCATTGCCACGGAACATATAAAATTACAAATGAAATTTATTGTAAAAAGTAGAATGTCTTATAGACTGGTGTCAGTATTTATTTCATTCATAAACCAAAACTGTAGTATAATATATTCATTGTCAGCAAGTTCATGTATGTAAATTGCCATCCCACGTTATCGACTGATATAAGACAGATATTGAAAAGACAATTTAAATTTACTTTTCCAAACATAAACTGTTCCACAAAAGCACTGTAAAAACTCCTTCAAGGTTTTGGGTTGTGCTTGACATTTACGGTTAACTACATAATTTGGTTGTGTCATAATCCACTGTGTTTGGTAATTTGGCATTAAATGCCTGCAGAGCAGATTGAATTCTCACCACCTCACTAGTAGACAGCTTGAGTCTATGACGAAGCAAGCAAGAGAAAAGGTCTAGACGACGCTGACCAGGTGGGGAGAGTTTATTTACACGGTCTCTTATCTCTAGTAGCTGCAAAAGTGCCGAGTCCTGGGATCCCTGAGTGTAGGGGTAGTCCAGCTGCAAAATCAGGTCCCGGATAGCTTCAGGATCAAAGTGCATGCTGTAGCCAAACACTTGGATGTTGTTGATTTTCATGTAGCCCAGGTTCCGGGATGGGTCAATAAACTCCAAAGGCTCATAGTAAATGCTTTCGTTGCTGTTGGGGCCATTTGCCTTGATGCGGCTCCTCAGGTAGATGTGTACTGTTTCAAAAAACGTCTTCCATTTGTTTCCCAGAGTCAGTGTCCAGTTGTAGCACTGTAGCGGGAGGTCCAGCTTAGTCCGCTCCCAGTCGGGAAAGCTGCTCTCACTCACAGGCATAAACCAGCTCTCGGAATGACTGCCTCCGAAGGGATTGATGTAAACAGCCAGCACTGGCTCCAACGTGCTGTTTTTAGTTAAGCAAATCTGTAAAGAGAGACCCAAGATCATGTGGACCAAACTGGACTTGTACTTGTTACTCTTCAAGGTCAGCAACATCCGCTTTCTCCAGGAAGGATCAAACCAGCTATTTAGGCGCATGTCATTGCTGATAAAGATGGCATGGACTTCTATTCGTCGATCGGTTTTCTGCAACAGGTATTTCATCTCCAGGTCTTGCAGGTCAGTCTCAAAGCCAATGTAGTGGTCAGTTGACTCAGCGACTTCAGGCTTGCACAGTCCCTGGCTCAGCATGTAGCCCGTGTTGCAGGTGCCACAGCGGGTTCGGTTGTCAGGTGCACATGTCAGGCAAGCAGACGCATCGCCCACGGTGCAGGGCAGAAAGGCCGTGCACACTACCTGGTCGTTGGGACAGGTGCAGGAGTGTGTCTCCTCAGAGAAGCTGCCCAGGAGGCCGTTCTCATTGCAGTAGAGAAAAGACTGGATGCGAGAGAGCCAGTAGGTTGAAGTTCTAGAAATAAAAAAAAAAGCAAATCTAAATAAATATATCGATTCTGTGTGAGTCTGTGCTCTTGTACTGCCATAAAGTAAATCCCAACTCACTAGTCTCTGAGCTTTTTGTCAAATCTACAAACAGCAAAAATATAATAAAATAAACCATTACACACACACACACACACACACACACACACACTTAAGGAAAAAACATAAACATTTGAAACCAAACAATTTTCTCTTAATTATTACTTCCACCAAATCCAGAAACTATTAGATTGTTTGAAACATGATATAAAATATGGGTACTGGACAATGGATGCTATGGGAAGTCATTAGGTCATGGGAGTAACACGATCATTAATGAGTTTAGTCCATTGTCGCGGAGAGTAAATTTCTTAAAGCGATCAAGTTTAACCTCTGTGCTGTCTCTTGGCAGTAGCAGCAACACCACCATCACCTGCAGCAACAACAATAACAGCAGAAATCTCTCAAGAACTTGCCCATGAGTCTTGGATTTCTGGCTCTGGAACTGAGAGCCGTTCAGTTTATTTTTATTCTTTACTAGTCAGTCAGTCTGTAGTATTGTGTTTTAGGAGTGCCAGTGGACAAAAAAAAAATTTCATTTCTGAGTTTTTTTTCTAAATACTTTTAAGATGAGCTCTCTTAAAAATTCTCCCAAAACTGTGCCTAAATATTCCAAAAGTTATGTGGCTCTGTGAAAGATGTGAATCTCCATGCAGTTGTTGGCCAGTTTATTCCACTTTGCTCTGTTTCTTTGTCTCTGTTTGTCTCCCTCCATCTTTCCCTTCTTTTTCCTTTTTTCCTCCCCCCTCCCTTTCGTTCATTCCCTCCCCTTACTTTCCGGTTTCCTTCCCTATGATATTCTTGCTTATTTGGTTCTGTATATGTGTCTCTAACACAAAGCATATATCACATCTGAATTGAGGATTCTATATTTTTTTCAAAACCAAAGCATCAATTCTTAGTGCACACTCATTTCTCACTGAAAATTCTAATCATGTTTTGAGACCATAAGGACAAATTAATTGGATTAAGGCTAAAGGCAGAGGTCACAATTGTAGGGTACTGTAGAAAGAATTATTTTCATAGATTTTACACATTTTCACCCAGCGTTTAGACTGTTCTTGTTTTCTCAGACATACTGATAAAACATCGTGTTCATTTTCTTGCTTTTCAGCTTGTCTTATGGATATTGACAGCTCAGCATTCATCCATCCCTGCACCTGCTACGAGAAGTAGCACTGGGTGATTTGCCGCACAGCCTCTTGCCATTCCCCTCACTAACCACCCTTTGACCACTTGACTCTATGTCACAAGGACGTTTTCAAGGAAAGAGAAATCCGATAACATTTCTTTTCTTTACTCTCAGTGAAATCTTGGTGTAAGCAGCTGTCAAAATTGGGTACTCAGCCAGTTTCAACATTGCTTAGTGGACTTTTAAAAATGTACTGAAAAATTCAGATGGTTTTCCCCAGAGAAAGTAAAATTTCTTTTTGTTACATAACTTTGTAACTTTAAAAAGCTTTTGAATTAAATATCTTCTAAATTCCCAAGTAGATTATGTTTTTCATATTTCTTTTTGACCAAGTCGTAAGCAGGTAAAATAATATTGTCTTTTGTTGATGCATATTTGCACATCCACATGTTCACAAACACAGATTGCTGAGGCATATTGATACACACGCATCGACACAAACATCATTGATGCATGTTCTCACATCCACACATTTACACAAACCCATCGTTGATTCATATCCATACATTCACACACAAACAGATCATTGATACATACTTACGCACACACATTCACACACACACAAATTCTTGGCTCAGATAAACTAAGATTTATGAGGTTAACCACTGTATAGTTTTCCTACTATTTTAGTGGGAAACAGAATCGTCTACAGCTTTTTATCAAGTGTTTGTCATTGGTTTTGACATTTACTTAAAGGCAGTTCATAGAATGAAGAGAGGATGAAATGATGGGTGAGAAGATTGGAAGGGAGGAATGGAAGATAAAAAATCAAATCATGCAAGATAGAAACCATGGATTTTGAAAAGCATAAGAAAGGCCGTGGAGACAAACATAGGCAAAAAACAATCAAATCAATGAATACTTAAAATACATAAATAATGTAAAGGACCAGTATCCCTGCCCCATAAATGGGACCAAATTTTCACAAAAGTTTTCAGGATATATTACAAGGAAAAAAGTACTTTCCCAAGTTCATCTCAAATATGCTTAGGCATAAAAAATATTAGTTAAGACCCAGATACACTTAAATCATGGATGTATTAAGCATTATACTAACTTGGAACAGAAATCTCTTGCCATAAGGCAAACACTAAAGCCTAGTTTAATAAGTAAATTCTGTCGTGTTCCACAAATATGCTTTTGCTGTTTCATAAAAACTTCACATAATGGGCCAGTTGCATTGAAAAAGAATAAAATATCAGAGGATTGTTTTAAGAATCAAATTACATTTAGTTGGATAAATAGAGTACATACAGAAGTAACAGGAAGAAATACAAAATCCTATTTCTGTGATTATCACTGCAGTTAGTACCATAACTTAAAAAGAAAACATTGTAGGCAGTTTCTTTATTATAACTGAATTTCCCCCAGAAAATGAGCATTTTGTTTTTCTTTAACAATTCATATCTCCATGATTCATAATACACAGTATCAATACATTGAAATTTTATGAGAACAGGTACCCTTTTGTTAACTGAGACTTTACTCTGAAGTGCATGCTGTATCCATGTGATGTTTGCAAAGCCCTCGAAAGTTTGTGCAGTTCTGAGCATACATTTTAGATGCTAACAATTTTCTCTGAGGTATTAGAACATGTGTTGATACAAAAACAATTACCTCTTCTCATTGTTAAATCCTCTCTGAGCACTAATAATCTTATTTCAAAGGTCCTTTATTTCAGCCTTCTAATCCTTTATTGCTTTCCAAATCTGTGGAATGTGTATCTAAATTTTAAACCTAAACAATATAATTTCTGTATCTCTTTGAAATTGAGGATTACTCTTTTGGGAAGGCCATTTCATTTTAGCTTTCATAGATTTGTCCTTCTTAGACCTTAATACCTTAAACTAAATATAAATTCTGGGGATTAAACACCCACAGCCATTTAAACAATCATAAGCTGATTGTTAGCTCAGTCACAGAGAGATCAAGCCAGGAAATTTTCTGTCACTCTCCCTTTTCACTTGGCTGCTCTGGGCATTGCAGCCTTGGCAGTATTGCCCTGGGCTCAAGCTGACACTTGACACACAATAGTTTTGCTCTTGGAGATAATTGTACACTCTGAGAAAAGGAAAATTCATTTTTAAACTATCCTTTTCTCAGTGAAATTTACAGAGAGGTGGTGAGAGTAGGTAAGAGAGAGGAAGGCAGGGACAGAGACATTTGATATATTTTTATATTTCTTGGTCAGAGAAGAAAGAAATAAACTAAATTAAATTAGAATAACTATCATTTTGATATTCTTCATGAAATACCTTCTGAGCATTTCTCAATATGATTAAAATCTCATGGTTAGGTTAAAAGAGAATCAGAGAATCCGAAAGAAGTTAGGGTAGATGGTAAAGGACTATAATCAGAGCTATTCTAGACTAATGGTCAAGGAATGAAGTTGAAAGTCATCCTTGGCTGTAGAGTGAGTTCAAGTCTAGCTTAGGCAATTAGATTTTTTTTTCACAGAGTAAATTCAGAAATTTATCCGAGGATACAGGTCAGTGGTAGATTGCTTACCTAACTAACACAATTTAGTACCAATGTTTAATGGAGAGACTGAATAGATAAATACATTGGGCATTAATTTCATGGGATAATACATAAGTTTGCTTTATTTGTAGCTGAAATGTCCATTTTCGTTTATTATAGCCTTGAAAATTTAAAAATAGAATGAAGAAAGGGGTCTTGTCAAATCACTACCATCTTTTGGTAGTGTATTACTTCTTAAGAATTGTTTGGAAAGAAAGTGAAACATGGTCTGTATCCACAGTTTAGAACATGGAAGGACGAGTCCAGGAAGTAGTAATTACATAAGAGGTTGTAACTTGTGGGCAAGGGGACTTCTATCTCTGAATGCAAATAATAAAATCAGAAAAGAGACTCAGGCTAAGTTGTTCAAATACTTTCAAAAGTGATGTGGCTAGTTTTGACAGAGAAGTAAGATAAAATAGACTGTGGTGTGTGTGTGTGTGTGTGTGTGTGTGTGTGTGTGTGTGTGTGTGTGTGTCTGAGAGAGAGAGAGAGACAGAAAAAGAGAGGGAGGGAGGGAGGGAGGAAGAGTGAGAGAGAGAGAAACAGAAAGAGAGATAGAGACACAAAGAGACATGGTGGTAAGATCTTCTAACTTCCAAATGTTTACAACGGTGTACTCAAGGCAGGATGCTGTCTGTACTGAGGGTGGATGCAGAGACAATGGCTGAATCCTGCATGCTGACTTGCTCCTCAAAGCTTGCTCACCCTTCTTTCTCATAGCACCCAGTACTACTGGCCCAGTGCTGGTTATACTCAAAGTGCACTGAACCTACTCGTATCCTCAATCAAGAAAATTCCCCACAAGTTTCTCTCCCGCTACTCTGGTGCAGTATGTTTTGAGTCAATGTGCTTCCTTCCCAAATGAATCTAGCTTGTGTCATGTTGACCTAAAACTAATCAAATTTGAGTAGTATTCACATTTCCTTTTTTTTTTTTTTTTTTTTTTTTTTTTTGGTTTTTTCGAGACAGGGTTTCTCTGTGGTTTTGGAGCCTGTCCTGGAACTAGCTCTTGTAGACCAGGCTGGTCTCGAACTCACAGAGATCCTCCTGCCTCTGCCTCCCGAGTGCTGGGATTAAAGGCGTGCGCCACCACCGCTAAAAAATAGAATCTTGCTGGGTGGTGGTGGCACACGCCTTTAATCCCAATAATTTGGGAAGTATAATCAGGTGGATTTTTGTGAATTCAATGCCAGTATGGTCTACAAAAGCTAACA